GCTTGATCGAGAAGGGCGGACTCGGGACACCGCGGAGTGCCTCCATGCGCGTGGGGGCTGCGCCACGCCACGCCGCGCTCCCGAGCCCCTCGCCGACCTGGATCAGTTCTTGCTTGGACGACTTCAGCTCCGGCGATCGCGTCGGCCCAGGAAGCCTGCCCATAGCTTCTGGGGCCCCCCCGAGTCAACGCAATGACGCGTCCAACGACGTACCTTGAGTCGGGTATGTCCCTCTATAGGAGGAATATTCGGACATAGGCAGAAAATAGTCTGGGGACGATGCTTCGACGATGTGCGACTATTTTTCGAGAATTTTGTTTTTGATGATGTTTTTCATTTACGGGCGCAGCCCGTAATTTGATTTTCGCGAGGTAGACAGACTGAACTGAACCACCAGGCCGTTAGATGGCAGTTTTATTTCCGCGGGTGAGGATATGTCGGTAGCAGTTTTAAGCCAGCGGGTGAGGGTATTTCGGTGGCAGTTCTAAGCCCGCGTATGAGGACATGTCTGTGGCAGTTTCAAGCCGGCGGTTGAGGATATTTCGGTGGCAGTTTTAAGCCAGCGGGTGAGGATTTTTCGGTGGCAGTTTTGAGCCAGCAGTTGAGGATATTTCGGAATTTCAGCGGGTGAGGATATTTCGGTGGCAGTTTTATTTCCGCGGGTGAGGATATTCCGGTAGCAGTTTAAGCCAGCGGGTGAGGATATTTCGGTGGCAGTTTTATGCCAGCTGGTGAGGAAATTTCGGTGGCAGATTTATTTCCGCGGGTGAGGGTATTTGGGCGGCAGTTTTAAGCTGGCAGATGAGCATGTTTCGGTCGCAGTTTTACTCCCGCGGGTGAGGATATTTCGGTGGCAGTTCTAAGCCAGCGGGTGAGGATATTTCGGCGGCAGTTCTAAGTCAGCGGGTGAGGATATTTCGGTGGCTGTCTCAAGCCAGCGGGTGACGATACTTCGGTGGCAGTTTTATTTCCGCGGGTGAGGATATTTCGGTGGCTGTCTCAAGCCAGCGGGTGACGATACTTCGGTGGCAGTTTTATTTCCGCGGGTGAGGATATTTCGGTGGCAGTTTTAAGCCAGCGGGTGAGGATATTTCGGTGGCAGTTTTATTTCCGCGGGTGAGGATATTTCGGTGGCAGTTTTAAGCCAGCGGGTGAGGAAATTTCGGTGGCAGTTTTAAGCCAGCGGGTGAGGATATTTCGGTGGCAGTTTTATTTCCGCGGGTGAGGATATTCCAGAGGCAGTTTTAAGCCAGCGGGTGAGGATATTTCGGTGGCAGTTTTAAGCCAGCGGGTGAGGAGATTTCGGTGGCAGTTTTATGCCAGCGGGTGAGGATATTTCGGTGGCAGTTTTAAGCCAGTGGGTGAGGATATTTCGGTGACAGTTTTAAGCCAGCGGGTGAGGATATTGCGGTGGCAGTTTTAAGCCAGCGGGTGACCATCACCCGCTCGATAACACCTCGATAACACCCGATAACACGTCGATAATATGTTTTCGAGATGTGTTCGAGATGTTATCGAGGTGCTATCGAGTGTGATCGAGCTCGATAACGCTCGAGAGCACCTCGATAACACTCGATGACACCTCGATAGCATGAGGTGTTATCGATGTGTTATCGAGTGTTATCGAGCGGTGGCAGTTTTAAGCCAGCAGGTGAGGATATTTCGGTGGCAGTTTTATTTCAGCGGGTGAGGATATTTCGGTGGCAGTTTCAAGCCAGCGGGTGAGGACATTTCGCTGGCAGTTTAACCCAGCGGGTGAGGATTTTTCGGTGGCGGCTTTAAGAAAGCGGGTGAATATATTTCGGTGGCAGTTTTATTTCCGCGGGTGAGGATATTTCGGTGGCAGTCTTAAGCTAGCAGGTGAGGATATTTCGGTGGCAGTTTTATGCCAGCGGGTGAGCATATTTCGGTGGCAGTTTTAAGCCGGCGGTTAAGGATATTTCGGTGGCAGTTTTAAGCCAGCGGGTGAGGATATTTCGGTGGCAGTTTCACTTCTGGGGGTGAGGATATGTCGGTTGCAGTTTTAAGCCAGCGGGTGAGGATATTCCTGTGGCTGCTTTGATCCAGCGGGTGACGATATTTCGGTGGCAGTTTTAAGCCCGCGGGTGAGGATATTTCGGTGGTAGTTTTAAGCCAGCGGGTGAGGATATTTCGAGGGCAGTTTTAAGCCCGCGGAGGAGGAGGAGAAGGAGGAGGGAGGAACCGAGAATATCTGTGCTCGGCGCGGGCATCCAGCCGCCACGCGATGCGTCATTCGCTTGGTTGGCCCAGCCGACGGCTACGCATCCAGCGCGGTGCTGCGCCCGTATATATGCTCGCCCCTTTGCGTGGGGCTGGCGGGAGGCCAAGGGGCGAGCTGTCTGGTGATTTTTCTTCCAAACCGCCGCCTGTAGGATGACATGCCCGACCTAAGACTTGCCGCTGAGATCCTTCGCCCCTCGCCTCGTAAGCTGGCCGATGACGAGGACACAGCCCGGCTGGCTCGCAGCGCCATCCAGGGCCGAGCGAACGCCGCTCTCGATTGGATCTCGACCACGCTCTATGGCTGCCGCATCCGGTGCAATTAGTAAGGATGGGCAACGTTCCCAAAGAGTACCCTTGCATCCCTGTCCCTTCGGCCCATCCTTCGCCACTTCCGTTGGCCAGCCTCGTTCGAACACCGCCAACGTGGCCCTCCGAGGCCCTTGCGTCCTTTCCGCGCGCGGCGGATATTGTACGTGGATCCAGTGCTGGCCGGAACCGACGGGTCCAACGCAGACATCTCCCGCGGCGCCTTCCTCGGCCGTCGCCGCGACCAGAGGACGTCGCCGCCTTCCATGCGGCGAAGAAGGACGAACGCATCAGGACGGGGTTCAGTTGCAGGCGGAGCAACCAACGGTCGCAGCTTCCGTTTTCCGCCGGCATGTTCTCTGCCGCACTCTTCTCGGACTTCCGAGTGTCCAAGGGGGTGTCCCCTCTTTTTCTGGGGGGTGGACGTCGGGTGCGCCTTCTACCAACATGAGCTGCCTGCATAGGGCACGTTCGCGTCGTGCCGACCGGCGGCGACCCCGCCGCCGGCGTTCAACGTTGAACGCCGCCGGCGACCCAGAGTCGGTCGATGCTGACCGATCTGATGTTTCGGAAACGGCCGATCGCTCAAGATGGAACGATCCCCGCGGTGTCAGGAACCGACGCCAGGGTCGACGGGAAACGAACCCGCGGTACCCTGCGCGCCTCTTCGTGCCCGCCGCAGCGTCGCCGCGCGCGAGGGATGGGCCTCGGCAGGCTGTCTCGGCAGGCGGCGCGCGCTCTCCCCGGGCGCCCCTGTGCCCGCGACTGTCGGTGGCCCCGATGTGTTGGATGTGGGCGGTGCTCTTTAGCCCGGAGGCCCGCCAGCGGGTCTGGAGACAGCACCGCGCCCTCAGTCGGACAAAACAAGACGCCACAAGCACAGATGTTCGGCGCTCCGCGCGGATTTCTTGGATCTGCGCTCGGCACCCCCTTGCGGTGCCTCCGGCTCCGCCCCTGGCGCGCTCCGCGCGCCAGGGAGGGGGGGTCCAGCGCAGATCCAAGAAATCCGAGTGGAGCGCCAAAACTTTCTGTTTATGATGGTTGTTTTTCTGTACTAAGGGCATCGTTCCGCGCGGTCGACTTCATGCTATCCCATGCACCCCCTCGGCGTGGACAGCGCGCTGGCGATGGGGTTAGTCCGCGCCTCCGTCACACAGACGCGCCGCACTGCATCGAACGCCCTGGCGACAGCAGGACATCGCGCACATACTGCGCTGTGTGACCACGAAACACTCTTCTGGGCATCGTGGAGCAGTCATTCGCCTGCTTTGGGTTATCTGTATTGTCGAGACTTCATAACAAAGCGCAAGTGCAAGAGAGGTGGTAGGGATTGCTCGTGTGGGCAATCGGCGTCCTCCCAGAGCACGCAGCAGCGCCAGACTGTCTGTCACTTGCTCACGTATAGGAGTTGCGCCAGGCCTGGATGTATGCACGGGATTCAGTTCAGCACTGCGAGTACGAAGACCAGGTAGGGGCTGCGCGCGAGCGTCTTTTCCGTGCCATGCGCCATGCGTTTCCCAGTGCTGCGGATGTTATGCCGTCTTTCCATACGACGAGCTGTTTCTTATGCCAGTGTTCTCCTCCTCCTCCTCCTCCTCAATGTCATGCCGATCTCCACATTTTGCCCTGCACTACATTACACTTCAGTACCCCTGGCTACATGGGCATGTGACATGATCAGCGACCAGTCGTGCGCGCACCCTGCATGCCACAAAACCCTGCGCCACCGACCTTGGCCTTGGCACACATGCGCGTTATTATGTTTTCGCAGCGCCGAGTCATTGAAGGTCGATACCAATCCAGGTGCGATTACCCGTTGTCGCATCTATGTTTAACAGCCGATGTTGAATCCAGTGATCGCAGTTCCACCCGCTTTCGACTTTCGCAGACCAGGGGAAAGGGGGAAGTGAGGCGGAAATTTGCTAATTCAGGGGGATTTGACTGGGGACGATAAGTGGAGGTGGTTGGTGGTGGCAGGGGTGGGAGCATGACGAAGAGCGGAAACAGACAACATTGAGGATGGACAGGTTCAGCGGAGTGTGGGGAGGAGGAGGAGGAGAAGGGGGAGGGGGACGAGGAGGAGGAACAGGAGGAGGAGGAGGAGGGGACAGGATGGGCCCCCCCCACGTGCCCCCTTTGGGCTTTCGTCTCCCAGAGTCTCACCCCCCCTCTGTTCTGATCGTTGGCGTTCAGGCTCGCACCCCTTCAGGGCCGACTGGCCGGACCACGATAGGAGGGAGGCATGATGAGGTATACGCCAAGACTGGCGACGCCCAGGGGGCACCCCGGCACCCAGCTGCACGCCTCGCAGCTGGCAGCCCCACGCCTTTGGCGCTCAACACCCCCCGCAGTCTTGAGGCCAAGAGGTTCGACGGAGGGCCGCCCGCATCACTGCAGGCAGTTCGGGGAGTCGCCGCCCGTCCAGACGCTGTTTCGGGACGCCGCGATACACGACAGGCGCCGCCCGAGGGAGGGAGATCTTCGCAGTTACGCAGGTGCACCTGACTCGAATGGCGCTCTCAAGCCCGTACTTTTTCTCAGTACGTTTGTCAACGTTCCGCCCCTTGCAGGGGCGCGTCAGGGCTCGGATGAAAATAGCAGCGGCATGCGAACACGGCAAGTGCATGAGTGACGCAATATTGCGAATATGGTTATGACAAACAAAAACATGTATGCAGCGATCGCTCCACAACATCCCCGAATTGGATGGCTGCTGCTACTGACGCCAGGGCTGGGATCAAGGGAGGAACAACCACCCGGACCAGGCAATTGGCGTTTACTAAACGGCCCTGGGCATTTACTAAAAGCCCTGCCCTGTTCGACTTCTTCTTTGGGTGCGTTTACTAAACGGCCTCGCTTGCCGGGGTGGTTATTACAGGGGTGGATGTGTTGCCCTCTATGGGAGCTCTTTGCAGTTACGTAGTTGCCCTTCTTTCCTTCTCACCCCTCCTCTCCGCGATCCCCTTTTTGGGGGAGAGACAGGTGATGACGAGTCCGGCGTGTGATCCTGCACTGTTTCCTCGGCCATTTCAGAATCGCTTTTCAGGGCGTGCTCGTATCGAGCAGGGCAGCAGCTGAGAGCGTACAGTCGGGGCGCTGATGAAGGAGCCCTTTTCGTTGGGGAGGGGCTCGGTATTCCTTGATTGGTTTACAGTTTGCTTTGGGCCATCCTCATGGGAAATCGAAGTTTCACTTATGGGAGAAAGGGGCCTCGTTCCTGATTTAGGGATCCTTACGTCAGCGCCCCGACTGTAGAGGCGAGATGGGAAACACCAGTTAAACCTGAACTGCGATACCTCCGACAAATTGGGTCCTGTGGTCGACTCTTGTTGAATTTTGCAGGGGAGGGAAGACCACCCCGACTCCGGCAAATAGCGTTTTCTAGACGGCTTTGGGCGTTTACGAAACAGCCATTCCCTGTTCGATTCCTCCCTCGGGTGCGTTGACCGAGCGTCTTCGCGTGCCTCGGTACTTATGAGGAGTGTGGATGTTCTGCTCTCCAATCTTCGGCCTCCTTGTAAAGCGTGTGGGTGGCCGTGGCTTACCACACATGTTCCGGGAGGGTATAAAACACACAGGCATCCAGGAAAATATGGGAAAATATGGAAGTGGGAGGGAAGACGAACACCCAGAAAATATAAAATGTTGGAAATCCTGGGATTTGTGTGTATGTACTTGTGTGTCCCTGGGCCCCTTGTTTGCTGTCGATCCGATAAAATTTGATCGACGATCCGGCTTATCGATTCGATGCTGTGGTCTCCTGCCCTATGGGCGAGTCTTGCTGCATCGTGGGGCTCTCTTGAGAGCGGCTGTGCGTCCGTTGCTCGTCACACATTATGCGTTGGCTTTTTGCGGCGAGCATCTCTCCGGAAGGCCCCAGGACCACCTCGAGCAGTCGCAGTCTTGCCGCGGTCTCGCTATGCCTGGTGGAAGCAGGCTCGGAGCCCGCCTGAGGCGAACTTGAACAATCGTGCGCCATCCGGCCCGGCGATCCGACGTTCCTCAAGTTGTAACGGCCGGCTTTTGTTTGTCTTTGGCCAATGGGGGCCCTCGCCCAGCCTCGGGACCGTCAAAAAACGACCGGGACGAAAAAGCAGCCCTAGGGAAGTGGTCCATACCTCCAGGCCCACGCATCGAAAACATTGGAGCAGCGGGATGCCTGGGAGGAGACCATCTTTGATTTTCTGGAGTCCTCGTGGAGCGATTGGGGCCACCTTGAAGGCTCTCACCCGACTCCCAGCGCCCCCGTGTCCAGATTTTGGGGGAGGGGACCTGGGGAGGGGCACATTCTGGACGGGGCCAGGACTCCTCCTCCTCCTCCTCCTCCTCCTCCTCCTCCTCCTCCTCCATCCTCCTCCTCCTCCTCCTCCTCCTCCTCCATCCTCCTCCTCCTCCTCTCCTCCTCCTCTCCTCCTCCTCCTCCTCCTCCTCCTTCTCCTCCTCCTTCTCCTTCTCCTCCTCCTCCTCCTCCTCCACCTCCTTCTCCTTCTCCTCCCCTCCTTCTCCCCCTCTTCCTCCTCCTCCTCCTCCTCCTCCTCCTCCTTCTCCTCCTCCTTCCTCCTCCTCCTCCTCCTCCTCCTCCTCCTCCTCCTCCTCCTCCTCCTCCTCCTCCCCCTCCTCCCCCCTCGTCCTTCTCCGAGGATAAATCCGCCCCAGAGCGTCCCAGCACACTCTCAGGGCGCGGCTCCCGGAACATTCTCTCGGCTTCTCTCGCTCGACGTTTTAGCCTCGCCCTTGGCTTCGTCGTACTCGCATCTGGGAGGAGGAGGAGGAGGAGGAGGAGGAGGAGGAGGAGGAGGAGGAGGAGGGCGAGGAGGGCGAGGAGGAGGGTGAGAAGGAAGAGGAGTAGGAGGAGGAGGAGGAGGTGGAGGAGGAGGAGGAGGAGGAGGAGGAGAGGCGGCCGGAAGAGGTGGCCCGCGAAGAAGCCGCCCTGCGCCCAGAGGGCGGCGGTGGGAGGCCTCGGGGGCCTCGGGGCGTCGAGCCTCGTGCAGCGCGGGCCTCCAGGGGCTCTCGACCTGTGCCTGTGAAAAGTTGCTCCGTCCCGAGCTGTTCCCAATCAGCCGCACGCAGGGGGGGCAGGGAGGAGGGGTGAGGGCTTCTCGGAAGGAGGCTGCTTCTTCTTGAAGCCCCCAGAGGGGTGCCTCGGTGTCGAGCGGTGCAAAGGGGCCCCAGGGGAACGAGCAGGTCTCCTGACGAGCATCCTGGCGTTCCCGGCTGGGGTTCCTCGCATGGGAGTCTTGCCCAAGGGACCAGCTGTGCCGTGCCTCCCTTTCTGCCCCCTCCGGTCACGCAGGTTCCCCGTGGGCCCCTTTCCGCCTCCCGGGCTGGAGCCCCCCCCCCTCCGGGAGTCGTGGTTGGTGGGGGTTCTCCACCTACCTCCCAGGTGTGAGCGGGTCGCATGTTGGCGGGCCGCGGGGTGTTCGGGGTGCGCGGCATTGACGCGCGTTTCCGCTAGCATGAACGAATGTAAGAGGCTGCTTCTCAGGAGGCGCGGGCCCTGTCTGCAGGTGTAAGAGCCGCGCCTTCGAAGGAGCCGCTTCCTTACCAGAAGCCTTTCCCCCCTCCCCCATCCCCCCTTTGTGCGTGCCGCCAACCTCCCCCTGAAAAGTTCGTCCGTCCCGAGCTGTTCCCAGCCCTCCTGTGTTGGTCATTCCACAACGCCGCCAACCGCGTCCCTCTTGCGAGAGGGTGGAGGGACATCCATCGCACGCTGCCGTCGGTGGCCCGCCAGCGCGTGACTCCTTCGCTCTTTGTCCGAAGATCCGGCTGCCCTCCAGCAGTAACGCGCTGACGGGTTCCCCATGGCGCGACGCGGCGTGGACGCTGCGTTGTGCCCCCCTCCTCTCCCCTTCTCCTCCTCTCCCCCCTGTTCTGCTTGTGCCGTCGGGCCCTCGCTCCGAGTCCACGCCGCCGCGCGCGCTCGCGCCTCCTCACCTCGCTCCTCCTCCCGCCCCGCTCCCGCTTCCCCCGCCGCCCGCGCGCGTACCCATGTGGGCGCCATCCTCCACGCCGTCTCCACGCCATCCTCCACGCCGTCCTTCGCGCCGCCCATCCACGCCTTCCTCGCCCGTTCTTCGCCGTCCTCCGCGCGACAGTGCCCCTTTGGGGAGCTCCGCCATCGACGGCCCTCGGGCTGGTGCGCCTGCATGCCGTGGCACGCCCGCCCGCTTGGGAACACCCCTCGCGCGGACATGTGTTTTGTGGGGTTCTGTCGGGCATGTCCCTCCACAGGAGGAGATCCCCAAAATACTCAACAGATAGTCGGGGGACGATGTTTCGGCTGGGACGCCGAGCATGTCCCGATGTCTTCTTCTGCTCTCCTTCCAAAAGCCGCCTGCAGGAGGACACGCCCGACCCACTAGAAGGACCTCGGCCCAACGGCCTCAGCGCGTGCCTTTGGCCCCCGCCTCGCGCGCGGGGCGTGTCGCACGGGGCCACTCTCGTCTGCCTGCGCGCGCCTGCCCCGCAGCCCCCCGGACCGCACCGCCCCCGCGGCGCGCGCTGCGGGGGGCGCTCCGACAGGGGCCCTGCCTTCGAGGATCGAAGGGGTCGTCGGCACCTTTGCCGCGGAAGGCGGCGGAAGGTCGGCGGAAGTAAAACGAGGCCGCCCCCGCCGGCGGAAGCCGGCGGAGGGCCGGCGGAGCCAAGGGGGGGAAGAACACCCGGACCCGATAGCTGGCGTTTACTAAACGGCCCTGGGCGTTGATTGAACAACCCTGCCCTGTTCGATTCCTGCTTTGGGTGCGTTTGCTACACGGCATCGTTTGTCGCGGTGGTTATCATAGGGGTTGGTTTTTTGCCCTCTACGGACGACGGCGGAAATCAAATGTTGCCCTCAAGAGCTGCAAACGTTTTTGGGCGCGGGGTTTCAGAAGTCCGCCATGTGAGGAGCGGGCCACGCCCTGCCCGGCACGCAGCTGCGGAGGTCGGCCAGTGGGGGGCACCCACAGAACCGACGCTCCAAACAAAAAGATTGGAGCCGGCGGTTGTGGGTTGTCTTCGGCTTCTGGGGGCCATCGCCGGGCCTCGGGACCGTCGAACAACGACTCAGGACGGCAAGCCGGCCCTGGGTCGGGGAAACGTAAGATTCGAGCAAGCGGGAATTCGGGTTAGCCGAAGTTGTTTGACGAGCGCGTCCTGGGTTTTTACGGTCTGGCTTTCGTGGAATAGTTGCAGCGGGAGATCGCGTCAAAATTAAGGTCGGGTCTCGTCGTTTTCATGATGGCCCCGTCAGGCCAACCCGTGTCCCCCGTGCCCGAGTCCTACGTCTCCCCGACTAGGGAGCTGGTCCAGACCTCCAGAGCCCGCGCATCGAAAAAGTTGGAGAAGCCAGGTGTAGGGGTAGGGGGGATGGGGGGAAGGCTTCTCAGGAGAGGCCCCCGGCTCCTCGGAAGGCGCGGGCCTGCTCAGTAGATGTGAGGCCGGCGCCTTCTAAAAGGAGGCTCCCTCGAAGATCTAAGAAGCCTTCCCCCCTCCCCCTTCCCCCTAATTAGCCCCTTGTGCGCGCCGCCCAGACGGGCTGTTCCCTCCGCCAGGCCGACTCTCTGTTCATGGCCCCGGGGACCAGGAGCTGCCCACGGTCGACATCGGCCACGCGCAGAGGGGGATAGGGGGAGGGGGGAAGGCTTCTTGGAAGCACTCCTGCTTCTTGGAAGGTACGGGCCTTAGGCCGGTGCCTTCCAAGAAGCAGCCTCCTTCTAAGAAACCTTCCCCCCTCCCCCCTACCCCTTTGCGCGCGCCGCCAACGACAGAAATCTGCGACCCGCCCCAGGTGCTACCAGGAAGCTGGATACACTCGTGGGCGAAAGACATGTCCGTCTCGACGGCCTGGCGGGCCGGGCCTCCTCGCCGCGACCCCGGAGATGCGGGCCGTTTCTGTTCGCGGAGGCCCCGCGCGGAGCTCCTCCGTGCGACAGCGTATCCGCGGGATCGCGCCCTGGAGTCCAGACCGCGAGGGCGTGGGTGTGGGCACGTCCGCCGCCCGTGCTACACGCGACGTGGCAGGCATGGTCGAGAGCCGGGTGCGCGTGCGGCCACGCGTCCTTCCAGCGTTCGACCCGCGCGTGGCTCGGCCCGCGGGCCCGTCACGTGCGCATGCAGCGCACGGCCTCCACGGAATCACGACGCCGGCCATGTGCGCAGTTGGCTCCCTCACACCCTGCAGCTGGACTTGGCGATGCCTCTGCAGACGCACTGGCAGCATCAAGGACCCGAGCCTGCCTCCGGCACATCCCGAAGTGCTCCACGCTCCAAGGGCGTCCTGGTCGTCCGCAGCCCTACTGTCCCCTACTGCCTTGGCGCCCGAGTCGCACCGCTGCAGCCCTGCCGTAATCACGACCGCAGCTTGGATCCACGGCGCCGCCGAGCGAGCACATTCCACATACGAGTCCAGCCGCGTTTGTCTCCGGCTTCCCGGCCGAAAAGGAGGAGGAGAGATGAGGAGGAAAAGGAGGAGAAGGAAGAGGAGGAGGAGGGAGGAGGAGGCGGAGGAGGAGGAGAAGGAGGAGGAGGAGGAGGAGAAGGAAGAGGAGGAGCAGAACGAGGATGATCAGGAGGAGGAGGAGGAGGAGGAGGAGGAGGAGGAGGAGGAGCAGGCGAAGGAGGAGGAGGAGGAGCAGCAGGAGGAGGAGGAGGATGGGGCTGCACGGGGCCCGGACCCTCCTCGACATCTGGCCCGCTGGGCCTCTCCGCCTCCACCCGCTCCTCCTTGGCCGTCGGCCGCTCCTCCGGCGGGAGCTCCCAGACAAGGGAGGGAAGATCCCAAAATCTTCATTTCGAGGAGGAGGATTCGAGGATTCGATGCTCGGTCTGGGGGCAGTCTCGGGGCCCGCCCAACGTGTCTGTTCGACTCCAGTTCGATCCCAGCTCGATTCCAGTTCGACTCAAGGTCGACTCGGGTTCGACTCAGGTTCGAATCAGGTTCGACTCGAGTCGACGGGCGTTCGACGCAGCTCCGACGCACGAGTGGAGCGAGTGATTTTAAGAAGGGCCCCACATGAGTATTTAAGGAGGAGTCGTAAGGAGGTCATGAAGCCGGTTCCAAGCTCTGGGGCGCTGTGCCTCGAGGGCAAAGGATGTCATGTGGAGATCTCACTCCGAGTTCACCCACCTCTCTGCATGGCCTCACCTCGTAGGGAGATCAGATTGCCTAAGTCGGTTCTCTTTGTCGGTTCTCTTTGTCCCGACCCCCTCTCTCTCTCTTGTTGTTTTCTCTCTCTCTCTCTCCTTCTCGCTCTCTCTCTCTCTCTCTTTCTCTCTCGCTCGCTCTTTCTTCTTCGTGAGTTGGAAACCTGATGCCACGATCTCAATCGATCAAAGTTTCCCCAACATCATCGGAAGAGGGGAGGTCGACGACAGTCGGCCCAACGCCCTCGGCGACACGCAGTTCACCGTGGACGTGACCGCGGGTGACCTTCTTTGGGGGCCGAGTCGCCCTCGTCTCGACCGCCAGAGCGGCCAACGACATGTTATTGTACAGGTGCGGCGACTTCGATCGCGCTGTTGTATCACTTTTGTGGCACATATCCCAAAGAGATGCTGCCAGCCTGACATCACTGCGGGGCGAGATCTGACGCTCGAGCTCCTCTGGCCCACCGTCCGCGGGTGGGGGGTGGATGAGGGTGGGGGGCGAAGACAACGGCTTGGCATCGCTCGCACGTGTGCATTTTTTCTCGGCGAGGGCCATCGAGGAGCAAGCATGTTGGGTCATCTTGCGAAAATACACACGCGCGAAGCCGAAACATGCACGGGGAATGGACGTCCGAGCGATGGCGAGACGGGGGTTCGGAGGGGAGGCCATCTCACCCCCCTCGGGGGCGCTCTTCCATCAGCTCGCCCCGGCAAGCGACCTGGCCAGTGTTACCGAGCGCGCTCCACTACTCGCCAAGTGCCTACTCGCAAACTGCCGAACAAAAACAAATGCCTGCTTCGAGGCAATGCATCGTAGATCCCCCGCGGCGGATCCAGGCCATTTGCGAGCAGCTACTTTGCGAGTCGTGGAACGCGCTCGTCTACTGCGGCCTGTGCCTGCGGAAGGGCTCTGCCGGCCTCCGCCGAAGGCGCCACGGACGCTGCTCGGCGCGCGCGAGCTCCGCCGCCAGAGCGCAGGAGGCCAAACATCGGCAGGAGCCTTCTCGCACGAAAAGGGCCAGACGAGGGCGGGACGGCGACGAAGCTCGAGCAGCGGGGAGGGGTGCGCAGATTCGCGTCGCGTCGACGGGGCGCCGACCTCAGCGACGGCATCAAGGGCTCCACGCCGACCCTGGTCCACAGTCGGCCGACGGGAACGACCTCGCGATCGTGCAAGGTTGGGCGTTCCATCGAAGAAGAGAGAACGCCAGGAAAATAAACAGTTGGCGCTCCGCGCGAATTTTTGGGATCCGCGCTGCCCCCCCCCCCCCCCCGCGGCGTCTCCGGCGCCGCCCCTGGCGCGCTCCCCGCGCGCCCGGGAGGGGGGCCCAGCGCACATCCGAGAAATCCGCCCGAGCGCCAAAAGTTTATGTTTGTTGCGTTTTTTGTTGCTCCGCCTCCTCCTCCTCCTCCTCCTCCTCCTCCTCCTCCTCCCCCGCCTGCGGCAGGAGGGAGCAGGGGGAAACAGGAGAGACGGCGAGCACGCACAGAGCTCATCGGATGTCGTGGTTGTGCTGCGGGCCCCGGGCCAGAAGCACCTCGCCGAAGCCCAGATGCAGCGGCCCATGACGAGTCCGTTGCAACTTATGCTTAGATTCGATTGCCCGAGGTGTGGTTTCAGCCACCGTTGCCCTCCCATGATGGAAAGGTTCAGGCTAGGGTTAAGTCGGGCCTGTCCCTCTAGTCTACAGGGGGAATATTCAAAGATAGTGAAAAATAGTCTGGGGACCATTTTTTGAGTATTGTTGAGCATCTTTTAAGCAGTTTTGGGGTATTTTTCATTTGTCGTCCAAAATCCCCCTGCAGGGGGACAGGCCCCACTTAAGGCTACGGTGGACCTGAGGAACACACTGCGAGGGGCGCACCGAGGGGAGGGGGGGGGGGGGGCACACGTTGTGTTGGATGTGTTGGATGTCGTCACGGGGGGGCACACGATGTGTTGGATGTCGTCACAGTGATCCGCATGTTGTGACACACTCGGTACTCTGGATCGCTTAATAATCGCCCCCCTTGGAGTGCCAAGCGGGGTTGGCCGCGGCGCTGGGGTGCGGGGGTGGTGCCGGGGGGTGGTTGGCCGCGCCGCGTTTTCACGTTTGTCACCCCCGGGTTGATTAATAAGAAATTCGGAGTATCCAGTGCGCCTTGGTTTGTAGGTTTGACGCGTGCTCTTGCATATTCTTAGCGAGCGATGTCCGTTCGAATATCTCCGAACGATTTTTGCATTGTCGGACGTTGTTGCTTGATTGCCTTGCCAGCGGTGCGGACACCCCCACCCTAGCGCCGCCATCTTCGCCCCCGCCGGAGGTCACAGACGCCCCTCCTTCTGCGATCCGTAGTGAAACATTGTGGTCCAGGTGTCTTGTGCTGCAGGGCAGGACCCTGCGATCCCACCCAGAATGCGGGCGGACCTGCCTCCCGACGTGGACGAATACGCCATGCTGGAGTTTGACCAGTGGTCCACGGTCTCTTCCGCGTGGCTGGCGGGCACAGTCGTCGAGGCGACGTATGGCAGCCCTGCAAGGGCACAGGACGTCACGGAAGTGGTCCGAGGGTTGGTCGAGGCCCGCCAGAGTTGGCAGGCTTGCAACCGGGATCGGTCCGCTGTTTGCGTTGCATTTTCGGTGGACCTCGCTTGTCCCCAGAACTGGTGCCGTTTCTTGTGCCCGACGCGGGCTCGATGCGGACTCGGCGCGGGTTTTGTGTGGATCCGACGTAGATTCGACACGGATTTGACACGGATCCGACGAGTCCGACATAGATTCGACACGTATTCGACGCGGACAGGGCCCCGACAGGACAGATAAGGTCCCCCGAGGATGCAACATAATGCTGTCCTGTGGGCCGTAGGCGCCAGGAACCAGCGCCAGTCAGACGAATCCAGGGGAGGTCCCACAGGAATCAATCAATCCAGGGCGTGTTTGGGAGACATCATGCTTTCTGAGTCATTGAGGGGCTTCCCCTCCTTCTTCCTTCGCGGCCCGCTCTCTTCCCTCGCTTCTCCTCTGCGTGGGCACGATTCGCAGTCCCGCGCCCCAGCCCTGCTTGACGGCTCGGAGTTTTTTCCGGGCCCGCCGAGTGCAATGTGTCGTCTCACAGTTGGCACGAGGATCAAGAGCAGCCCTTTTTTTGGAGCGGTCCCCTTCTGCTCTTCGTTTTCGGCTCTCCGCCTCGGGGTGTTCTTCGTTTTGGGTATCCGCATGAGGCCTTGGGTGTTTGGCGGAGGCACTCAAATTCTTGACGCACGTCTTTGAAGAACTCGTGGGCATGTTTCCACTGTGCAGTGTACAGTCGGACCGATGTATAAGATCGAGGTCGGCTCGG